GCGATCCATATATTAATAGAGGATAGAGTAAAAAAAGAGCGATCCATATATTAATAGAGAGAGAGAAAAAAAGAGCGATCCATATATTAATAGAGGAGAGAGTAAAAAAGAGCGATCCATATATTAATAGAGGAGAGAGTAAAAAGAGCGATCCATATATTAATAGAGGATAGAGTAAAAGAGCGATCCATATATTAATAGAGGATAGAAAAAAGAGCGATCCATATATTAATAGAGGAGAGAGTAAAAGAGCGATCCATATATTAATAGAGGATAGAGTAAAAAAGAGCGATCCATATATTAATAGAGGATAGAGTAAAAAGAGCGATCCATATATTAATAGAGGATAGAGTAAAAGAGCGATCCATATATTAATAGAGGAGAGAGTAAAAGAGCGATCCATATATTAATAGAGGAGAGAGTAAAAGAGCGATCCATATATTAATAGAGGAGAGAGTAAAAAAGAGCGATCCATATATTAATAGAGGAGAGAGTAAAAGAGCGATCCATATATTAATAGAGGATAGAGTAAAAAGAGCGATCCATATATTAATAGAGGAGAGATCCATATATTAAAAAGAGCGATCCATATATTAATAGAGGATAGAGTAAAAGAGCGAAAGAGCGATCCATAAAATATTAATAGAGGATAGAGTAAAAAAGAGCGATCCATATATTAATAGAGGATAGAGTAAAAAGATAAAAAGCGATCCATATATTAATAGAGGATAGAGTAAAAGAGCGATCCATATATTAATAGAGGATAGAGTAAAAAGCGATCCATATATTAATAGAGAGAAGAGTAAAAGAGCGATCCATATATTAATAGAGGAGAGAGTAAAAGAGCGATCCATATATTAATAGAGGATAGAGATCATATATTAATAAAAAGAGCGATCCATATATTAATAGAGGATAGAGTAAAAAGAGCGATCCATATATTAATAGAGGATAGAGTAAAAAGAGCGATCCATATATTAATAGAGGATAGAGTAAAAAGAGCGATCCATATATTAATAGAGGATAGAGTAAAAAGAGCGATCCATATATTAATAGAGATAGAGTAAAAAGAGATCCATATATTAATAGAGGAGAGTAAAAAAGAGCGATCCATATATTAATAGAGGATATAGTAAAAGAGCGATCCATATATTAATAGAGGAGAGAGTAAAAAGAGCGATCCATATATTAATAGAGGATAGAGTAAAAAGAGCGATCCATATATTAATAGAGGATAGAGTAAAAAGAGCGATCCATATATTAATAGAGGATAGAGTAAAAAGAGCGATCCATATATTAATAGAGGAGAGAGTAAAAAGAGCGATCCATATATTAATAGAGGAGAGAGTAAAAAGAGCGATCCATATATTAATAGAGGAGAGAGTAAAAAAGAGCGATCCATATATTAATAGAGGATAGAGTAAAAAGAGCGATCCATATATTAATAATAGAGGATAGAGATGAAAAAAGAGCGATCCATATATTAATAGAGGATAGAGTAAAAGAGCGATCCATATATTAATAGAGGATAGAGTAAAAAGAGCGATCCATATATTAATAGAGGATAGAGTAAAAGAGCGATCCATATATTAATAGAGAGAGGTAAAAGAGCGATCCATATATTAATAGAGGAGAGAGTAAAGAAAAAGAGCGATCCATATATTAATAGAGGAGAGAGTAAAAGAGCGATCCATATATTAATAGAGAGGAGAGAGTAAAAAGAGCGATCCATATTAATAGAGGAGAGGTAAAAAGAGCGATCCATATATTAAAGAGGAGAGAGTAAAAGAGCGATATATTAATAGAGGATAGAGTAAAAAGAGCGATCCATATATTAATAGAGGAGTAAAAAAGAGCGATCCATATATTAATAGAGGAGAGAGTAAAAAGAGCGATCCATATATTAATAGAGGATAGAGTAAAAAGAGCGATCCATATATTAATAGAGGATAGAGGAGAAAGAGCGATCCGGTTAGAATAGAAAGAGTGATCTTTTACCCCGACATTAATTTCCTTATGTACATTTCCTTGAGTACTATGCGATCTAATTATGCAAAATGGGATCGCCCGTATTTGCTCTCTGGTGGACGGTGTTCAAACCCAAGTGTCGGAAGCGACTTTATTCCTATATAATACATATAAACATGTAAAATATTAAATGAATTTAATTTATTGTGTCATATGATATACTGTGCATGCTTTTTAATTAAATATTAATACAGATTTTTAATTATTTTACTCCACTCAAGGCAATAAACACACTCAGTCGCAACGGGTTACTGAGTGTGAAAGAATATAAGAAAAAGAATGACGTTACTAAGAAAAGAGAACAATAAAAGAACAGGAATTAAGATAACAGAAGATAACGATTGATATTGCATTTAAATTGTTGAATATAAAATTTGGCTAGGAAAACAAAGAAGCAGAAATAAATTCTACAAGCGAAGAGCGAGTCAAAAAATCTGCATAGCATCTACAGTTACGCCTAGAAATTTGAACT